ATTTGCTTTACGAAGCCTTAGCAGTTGCGATTTAAGCTCGTTCTTTACTTATAATATCTAATCTCTTCGTCTTTTGCTGGTGTAGCTTGTTAATTTATCTTATGAATGACTATTTTGTACTCTTTAACAGCTTCTAATATTGCGGCCATCAGTTCTAGCTCGGATTCATCCGTTCAGAATGAAAAAAAGTCAATCACACTTGCTGCTCTTCCCTCGAACTCAAGCTTAGATCAGGGTTCTGCTTCAAAGCGTCCCCGTATGTCATTTCTTGCATCTCGTGCTCCGATTCCATCTGCCGCCGCCCTTGCTGCAGTGCCTACTGCTAATTTAGACGCGGACGATCCCTGGGAGGAGGACTACGATGAAGATGAGGTAGCGACTGCTCCTAAAAAACCCACCCTCGAAGGGGAAGAAGACGATGACGCCACTGATGACGAAGAAGAGGATGAAGAGGCATTACTGATGGAATTAGCCAAAATTAAGCGTGAGCGCGCAGAGGAGATCGCAAAACAAGCAGCCGAAAGAAGGGCAGCTGAGGAAACTATCAGGATTGATAATATTTTGCGTGGAAATCCGTTATTGACTCGCAATGACAATCCAACAGGTAAGATCGATTGGTGTTTGCCACTAATTCACACTATTAATTTCACTCTAAATCATTTTTATTTCATACTCAGAATTTAAGGTCAAAAGACGATGGGATGATGATGTTGTCTTCAAAAATTGTGCCAGAGGCGAAATCGATCATGCTAAGCGTGGATTTATCAATGATACTCTGCGATCAGAGTTTCACAAAAAATTTATGAAGAAGTATATCCATTAGTTGCATGTATCTGTCGTGTACATAGTGATTTCAAATATATTTTACTTTAAATCTCTTCTTCATACTAAAATAAGCGACCACAGTGGGTTACTATTATCATATAACAGTTATTTTAAATTTCTATTTGTTCGCTTCGTGTTATAGAGTGTTGCAATTTTGTATTTAGCCACTTTACCATCGTTGCTTTATCATATTTTGCAAGAATTTTCTCATGGATCATTTGTCGCATTGTATTTAGTCGAAATCTCGTTCTTAGAAAGTGAAATGTGCACTATTCTTGATTTATTTTTGGCATCCTTTCTTTCACTTAGCCTTGTTGGCTATAATGGTCTATGTGTGATAGTACATTCCAATCCTTTCTCTTACTAGCCTAATTCTGCATCGCTTCTTATCTTGCCCTCTTCTGTTTGAAAAGTTAACTTACTTTTTATCACTCACTATTCTGCACCTGCTCGCATATATTTGTAAACTTACTCCTAATCAATATATTGCAACATTAGTTAGAGCACTTTTACTGGAAAACATATTTGCTTCAGCATTGTAGAGTATTCTGAAAGTTTTTGATGGCCATTTTTTGCTAAACATGCTTTGCCGTACAATGGTGCCTGGTATAGTGATACTAGCTTAAATGCATGAAAGCAGTTCGTTTCACATATGGCGAAGAGATTAGTGGTTCAGTATTCCCGGAAAACGGCACCTAATTCCTCATACTCTGCTCGTTTGGGTTTTATTGAGGGATCCAAGCTGCTACAGTCCTTGGGGCTCTCCGGTTTCGTTTAAAGTATGCTAAGCCTTCGTCCATCATGATGGGCGCCATTAAATTTGTGGCATTTTTGTTGTCTTCTAGCACCTTGCTGACCCATCTATATCTAATTCTGTCAACAAATTCCTTATTTAGCTCTTAAACATTTCTTAACTTCACTTCATATCATAGTATGTTTATTTCGACACTCTATTTTGCGCTAACTACTGGATATCATATTCAACAAACTAATCGATCTGAGGGCGTTCCATTATGTCGTTTGCTTTTTCTTAGCTATTTGTAATTATCTGACAACCTCTACAGGCATTGTGTCTCGCTACCCATGATAGTGCAGCTACAGGTCTCCCCAACGGAAAATTAACACCATTACTTCGCAGTCTAATATGGCTAGGGAGCTATGATACTCTTAAATGTACATAACTACAGAAAGCTTCAATGCTTCTTTGAAACCTGTCTTGCTATCTATCTTTCTGGACTGGGGTTCAAAAGGAAAGTTCATTATTTAGGGAAGGAAATAATGAACTACTTATGTGTATGGTGACGATGAGGTCGTTAATTTACCTAGCATATATTTGGTGGCCACTTTCTGCTTACCTTCGGCACCTGCAGATGGGTGGATTTGATGTATGAAATGGAGTTTAATATGGCTGCGGGCGTTTGTTTACATGGTTAATATTTGGCTATGCGATGCCGATGTGCTTTTGGTTCATTTGTGCGTATGTGCTTCGTGCTCAATACCCACGAGTCAGGTGAAATTAAAGCCCAAACCGGTCTCTAGGTTAGTCAGGCCTTGCTTTATAATTTATATCCATTAGCCTAAACTGATTCTTGCTTAATTACCTTTACACGCTTCCCCTATCCAGAATGTTGATTGCCTAATTAATTTCTATCGATTCTTTAATATTCCGCTTAGCTGTAAAGTTTCCATATGTTGCGAAACTTTGAGTTTTAACCCGTCCTGTTCTTTTCCATTGAGCATATGTTCGGCCACTTTATCTATTATTATTCCTAAGTTTGTATGATTTACAGGCCTAGTATAGCATCTAGATCTAAGAGGCTCTTTTTTAATGCATCTGATTTGCTTAAACAGGCTTTCGGAAACACTTGCAAAATCACTTTGTTTGGTTATGATTAAGCTGGTGGGCTTCTATAAATTACAATCACCATTGGGTGGGGTGTAGTATTTAGTCAGAAAAACTGGATCACGAAAATGGAATTAATCGCTTGGGTATTAGGCTCAGACCCACAAACGTTATGCAGAACGCATCAAAAGGAGATCAGAATATAATAGTTGAGGAAGCATTAAGTATGTCCCAAACATTATTGAGAGTTACCAAGGGGGAGGTTCTATCACTGGGTCCAAACTTCGCGTTGCCAATTGTTAAGAACTACATTTACATAATATTGGCGCCATTCAAGTTTCATAGATTGGCTGACGGAAAAGACTAGAAGTGGCATGAGTTACGTTTTTCCCCTAAATGATAAAAATATAGGAATACTAAATAAGAATAGAATGACCAATAACACTTAGTTAAAATGAGCAAATATCTTTGAGGAAAACAATGTAGAAGTTGTGGCTTTGGCTAGGGCAAGAAATGACTAGAGTTAGAAACCA